TTTTTAGCCAGTACCAGGTGGATTTTATGACAGTAGCTTTACAGCGTCTACCTTTTGAAGTTCTGTGGCATATTTTCCCCAAAGTGCAAATAAACTTGGTTTTTAAAAAAGGGTTTTACCGCTAATGAACATATAAATATCTAGTGGTAATTCTAATAATATCCGTCCCTGTTGAATGTTTACTACTCAAAAACTGTCTAAGTGCTTTACACATGTTAACTTATTCTTACTACGACCTCATGAAAGAGTTCTTCTTAGTTCCTCTATTAATAGTGAGAATGCAGAGGCAGTGAAGTTTCAGATTATGCTCAAGGATACAATGCCAGTGTTTAGACAGAAAGTGGTGCAGCTGAGCTCCATTAATCTCTTTCCTAATCTATCTCTGCTATGGTTTACGTCTAGGTGTCTCCCCAAAGCCTCGTGCACTCATAGGTGGGACTCTGGGGTGGCGATTAGATCATGGGGCACAACACTCATCTGTGAATCAGTTTACTGGTGAGTGTGTAGCTCGGTGTGATGGTGGGAAGTGAAGGCTGGTGGGAGGGAGTGGGACACTGGAGCAGTGGTCTGGAAGAATATGTCTCCACCCCTCCTCCCTTGTTCTCTCTCTGCTTCCAGCCACCATGCCATGAGCTGTTTCTCCTCTGCTATATTACTCTGCCCTACCACCCCACTTTGGAACCAGCCAACTATGGACTTAAACTTCTACAAACTGTGAGCCAAAAGTTCACCCTTCATTCTTCAAGTTGTGGATGTTGGATATTGTGTCTCAGGGACAAAAGGGTACATAAGACAATCTCTCATTTTTAAAAATAGTGACCTTGATAGGTGCTAGGCTGGGAGTGATTTTTCTATAAAAATACTGTTTGTCCAATTAATACTTTTCTCTTTTAATCTTATAACTTCTGTGTGACTTTTAACATGTGCTATACTGAATGTAAACATGCTTGAGGAGTATAAAATTCGTGTGTACTTTCAGTCTGTTATTGGGAAGGCTTTTGAAAGATTCTAAAACTTCCTTCTAAAATGTAAAAACATCATAAAGCTTCTCCCCTGAGAAACAGAACACTTAGTTGATGATGCAACGTCCTGGTTTATCTTCTTACAGGATGAGTTTGGGCTGGAGGAGAGATTCTCATCCTCTCAAAGTCAAAGAAAAGGTCACCTATACATGGTGGAAACTCATGTGACAATATAGGTGTAAGACAGTCCTATTAGGAGTGGGGAAAGTGACAGATGAAGTTCTTTGTTCTTGAAATCTTACGTTATTATGACATTTTTGCCTTCCTAGTCATTTTGAAATTGTGAATCAAGAGTATCCAGAAGTGAACTAAATCAGACACACACACTTACATATTGAATGGTTTCTCTTTCATGAGAAACTCAAAATATAAATAAGGAGAAAAGTAAAGACAGAAAGTAGGAAGGTAGATCTTTTGCAAATGGGAAGGGGACTAAGAAATTGAGGGATGAAACGAGAGGAAAGGGAAAGAGATAAAAAGAACTGAGATGTGTTATGTACTTCCCATAAGGAATGTGATCATTATGTACTGCAAACATGAACTACTAAAATATAAAATCTGACAAAAGAGTATCTAAAAGTATGCAAATCATGGTTTCACCATATTTGCAGGAAGTAACTGACCCAACTCCCCATGTCAAACTGACCTGTGTGAATGTTGACTAGCATCTCATTCAGCTTTTGCCTCCAAAGTTTACCACATGCTAAATTGGTCTACACTTTTTAGACAGGTGGAAAAAGATGCTAAATGTCTAGATTGTCCACCACGACCACCCGACATTGTCTTCTAAAGTCAAACTGTTTGCAAAGGAGTTCCCTTCTGTCCTTTCTGTTCTCCTAATCAGCTTAGAAAAGTAGATCCCAGCCTTGGCTGCCCACTGTGCATACTTGGGCAGTTTCAAGCATACTTACCTGGGTCAGAACTTCTGGTCTAATAGGTTTGTGATGTGATCTGAGTGCTTGGGTTTGGAAAACTTCCCGAATTTTCCCACAGAGATTTAGAATCACTGGTTTGGAGTAACTCTGTTGTTCTAACTCTACTCCATTCTCAAGCCTCTCTCCTAACTTTCCCCTAATTTCCATGTCCTAGGGAACAGCAATTAAGAGATGTGCACACTGCAAGCATTTTTCTCTAATCAAGGAGATATCAGTTCACATAACTTCCCTGCTAAGTTCTAGAAACCTCATGCATTGTGCATGCATCTTAAAAGTTCAGATTATATTTTGTGATAAATTAGAATATTTTGAGTAAGGAGCTGGGCCACTTTAAGAAGTAGAAGGCAAACAGCTTCTGTATCCCAAAAAGCAACTGAACTGACAACCCGTAGTTTGACACCTTCTGTGTAGCTGACACTGACCCTGATCCCCTGCAGCTCCCCTTACAGTAGGTTACTTCTCCCCCTCAAAATTCTCCCCATTAGCTCACCAAACCTAGCAATACCTCCAATAACCAATGAAGAAGTGACTGTCAGAGGGGATGGAAACTGGATCCCTATCCCATAAAACAGGGCCATAGCTCTTTCCATTAAATGTCATGCAGCAGCATTCACCATATTGTAACTTTCCTATATAAAGTAGGAAAAATGGTTTTTCTACTTTTTGTCTGTTGGTTGGTTTACTTGTTCTAATTAAGGAATATTGTTATGGTGTCCTCCAAAAGCTGTAAGGTAATAATAGTGTTGATAAATATGGTTCTTATTTTATTTATTGTAGTGGAGTATCTACCTAAAAATTAAAGACTTGGTAGAAATATGAAATAGTTTAGCTGCTGTGAAAAAATGTTTGGACATTCTTTAAGAGGTTAACTACAGGATTGTCGTAAGACTCAGGAATTCCATCCCTAGGTATACACCCCCAAAAACTGAAAACAGAGACTCCAAAAGATACTTTTATACCAATGTATCACAACATTTTTTCCCAAGAGCCTAAGGGTAGAAACAACCCAAGTGTCTATTTAGATTATCATCAATGGATTAATGCATTAATTTAAAATATGCGGTGAATATGAAAATTAAAATCTTATACTATATACAGCAATGATGTGAAAGAGTAACTCATCCATTAGAGCTTTCAAGCAATCAAAGCCTCAAGTAAGGAAAAAGGTCTAACAAATTGTAAATGACACTGACACTCTACTAAGAAGAAAGTGATGTGCATTTAGCAGGGGGCATGGTGAGAAGTATGGAATGAACAGGCAGGAAATCTCACCCTGAAGTTTGAAAAGCATTTTCTGCTGTGCTCACCCATGGCATCTTGACTGCCGCTAAGCAGACTGATACTGCAATCAGCACTGTACAAGACTGAGACTGAAAAAAAAATCAGTTATTTCTCTGACTTGCATGACAATTGCCCAATTTTGCCGAAACATAACAAAACAAAAATTATATCTGAAGGGAACAGGGTAAAAACTCCTGAAAAGACAGGAGGATAGGAATAGAATTTGTGAGTTAGAAAAAAGAGACAAACTCGACTCTCCAAGGTTGAGCCCTGAAATCAGCCCTGACAGGAGAGAACAGTTATTTATTCCACAATTCTGTAAGCACGAAAACAGCTTGCATCATAAGCAGGTTCTTGCTACTAAACACTCTGGGGACAAATCATAGTGTAAGCATGGCCTAGAATGTGTGTGTTTATGTGGGGGCAATGTGGCATTAAAGGAGAGATAAGACAAAGCTAGATAATAAATTTTTGATCACTGCTTTATATGGCTTACGCTCACCTCCCTTTATGATTTACAGTAAATCACTCCTAATTTAGCCACTCTTTGCATCTGTTCCTGATGTCCATTAGAGTGTTTCAAATCTACAACTGAATCCAACCAGATTTCTTAGGAAGTGTCATTTGCACTAATATTTCCACCCATCATGACTCAAGGTATCAGGCAGAGATTTGCTGTATTTTAATCAAGTTTAAATTGTATCTAGTCAGCCATTATGTTATTGCATATACAATGTTGCTAAATACTACTTCTCAAAACCTAAACTCAAAGCAATGAATGAAGACATATGAAAGGCAAATAAAATTTTTGAAGATGCCCTTTGGTTTTCACAAAAGAAAATAAAAATCTTTTTAATCCTTAAAACTATTTAGGTATCTGAAGGGAAAAATGAAGCCCAAGATGGCTGCATTATGGTTCAGGCTGTGGGAGGATGATTTCTGGGGACATTAAGTTAACAGATTTCTGGCCCAGGCACACTTCCCAATGTACTGGTAAATAACTGATATAACCAAGGTCAATGCTGGCCACTGAAAATAACTTATATAACTGGGATCGTTATTTATGTACTTTTATTAGTACGTGTTAGCAGTATGTAGCCTTCACCTTCCTTGTGTGCAGTGGGTAAAGTTACATAATACATCTTAATTCCTTTTTCTATCCCATCACCTGCCCTCTTCCCTCTCTCTCCATCTCTTGATTCCCTTCCCAGTTAAGAAAGTTCTATCACCCTACTTTCTCTCAAAAATAGGAATTTTTTTTTTTTTTTTATTGTTAGGGCTCCATTGTCCAGGTAATAACTTCAAAACACTAGATCAACAAATATTTACCACAACATTATATTGAAAATGTAATGATTGAAAAATAGTACATGTCATAAGCTTGATTCTTTTATACCTTTAACAGATAACTATCTCATAATTAAGAATATTAAGGATTTTTCTGTAGAGTCATACATATTTCTGCAAATATTAAACATCCACATATGTCCTACATTTTGAAATTCTGTTTTTGTTTCACTGTTCCAGTGATTTTTGGGTTCTGCTGAATGCCAAGGTCATGGGAGACAATATCGCCAAGCGTCACACACCCAGACTTTAGAAAGGGTGCGGGACAGGCAGCAATATACCATGCCTCGCAAAACAGACGCAAGCTTCTGAGGACCCAGGAATTTGACAAACACATGGCCGCCAGAAATGCAGCAGAGTGGGGCTCGCTCCCTCAGCCCTCTCATCTCAGGTGAAACTTCAGCTCTATGACCCTTTCCCTTTGCATTTGGAACACTGTATTACACTCTAGTGTACATGACAATCTGTGAGCCCTTTCAGAGCTTTGTGTCGAGTGCTTATTCTCTGGTATCGTTACATCCCTTTAACACTGGTTATTCATTATAAAATAAGTAACCTCAACACTAAGGTACATGTGATTGGTCCATTTTACACTTCTTACTCAAACTCTCATCTGTGTTAGTGACAGAATAGTTCTATAAAATGGGATAATGTGAAGAGAATTTAACCAAGGTTCAAATTACTAACATCCTCTGGAATTAATGAAAAGTCGTAGATCTAGGTTTAAAGTCTTTCCTTTCATGATTATAAATATGAGAAAAAATTGGGGCATTTCCTAAATAATAATAATTCATTACATTTCTAAGACTCTAAACAGGAAATTGTTTTTAATAATGAGATAATGATTTTTCAGCCAATGTTACTACTAAATGATTAAAAATTGACTACTTGTGACAAGTACAAAATGTTTAAAAAATACATGTAAAGAAAAACTCTAATGCCCAAGAGTCTTACAGTATGGAAAAGAATGTGTGAAAATGCAAAAGTAGAGAAGAAAAAAAATGAACAGAAAAAGCTTAACATACTTTAAACAAATATCTGTATCAATGAAAAAGTTATGGAAAATAGAAAACACAGTTGGAGTACAATGTTATTAGAAAAAAGGCATTGAATAACAATCTAAAATAGTAGGAGGAATGTTATATTCCAAACAATTAAGGAGCCAAGAGAAACTATACTTGATAGCTATAGTGAGATTATTAATTGCATGGGCACAATTATGTTTGAGCATGGCTGAAAGAAAATCAAATATAATGAGCTTTTAACAACTCTTTTTTAAATAAAAAAAATCTTGATAACAAAAGGGAAATTGGAATTCAGTGATGATTATAAAGAAAAAATCTGCAAAGGCCTTTATAAATTGAGCAGCACTATTATAATTGGAAACAGCTAGAACTTCAGCAATTTCCACATAAGAAGAGTAAAATTAGAATATCATCAGTAGACTTGATCTGAAATCTCCTCTAATGTGCTATTTTTAATAATCTGTGTTAAGTGCTAGCAGGTTTTGCCATGTGCAGTATACCTGTACTTGAAGTATAATTCATGTTTTATTACTCACTTTGATGGATAACTAAGAACTTTCATTCTTCACTATTCTAATATCATAGAGATAAATTGTGACCTGTAAAGAGCTCCACATTTTTCATATTTATTAAGAAATAACACACATATGTTTTCTATTTGGGAGGAAGTGAACAAATGTTAAATACATAGTAAGAATGTCTGCTGTCCTCCATATTACCTGCTGGCCTTCTCCCTACCTGCCCATCTTGCCAGAATTTATACCTAGAAATATGAACATTTGAACCACTTCCTTTTAAGAGTTATTGTGATCCTGATAGACAATAGATGTGTGGGGAAGGATAAAACTTCTAGACACCATCTGCTAAAGTTAGGTTCTGTTCACCATTAAAGATGTTAAACCCATAAGATAAACAGGAGAGAAGTACTTCAGATAACCTAATAAGTACATCATGTTCTTCCCAACTTGAAAATGAAGCTCTCTAAAATTTATTTGGAAAAATATTGACCTAGAAAAATGATATGTCTAAGGAAATAAACATACAGATGATGTCATATATTTTATAAGTAGTTCTTTTATTCTTATATTTATCTTCATTGTGCAAGTGAAAGATTCTCAAATTTTGTACAGTAAGAAGTTTTCTAGGGTGGAAAAATCTATTTTTTCTTGGAATTTGCTTCCTGTTTGTGTCAACAGTAACAGTATGTTTAATTCCTTGGATATATCATTTTTCTAGGTCAAGATTTTTTCCAAATAATTTTAGAGAGTTGGTTTTTCATCTTGGGAAAAGTGTGATATATTTATTAGATTATATAAGCTCTGTATCATTTCTAATGTTTTTTATTATGGTTTATTCTCTTTAGTGGTTTGATCAGTCTTGCATTCTTACCTTTGGTAATCTAGGCAACTTCACTGAAGATAACAATATGTAATATAACAACCACTGTTAATTCCTATCATTTTATTTTGAAACCCTGTATCATTTTTATTATTTTTTGCTTTGTTTTGTTTTTGTCTATGTTTTGATATTTTATTATTTTTATTTTTTTTTTTGGTGGTACCGGGAATCAAACTCAGGACCTTGCACTGGCCAGGCAGGCGCTTGTGCCACTGAGCTATCTCCCCAGCCCTATTCTCTTTATAATAAAAAAGAAAAATATATGTGACAATAATAGAAGTGCTAGAAATGGAAATGTAGAACTTTAATCTTATAAGGCTCACATAGTATTTATGAGGTAGTATAAGTTCACATAAAACTCAATTGTGGTGTGATAAACATATGTACTATCAAAATATCATTGAAAACAAAATGAGACAACAAATTACTTGCCAAAGAACTGACAATGGAAATAAAAAAACTAGGCAGAAAATTGTAGAAAGAGAAAAAAATATAAAGAAGGTTGATTTAAATCAAAATACATAAATATTAACTCCATATATGAACTATTAAGACTTATATCTAAATGTTCTGCCAAAGTGGGGCTTTTCGGAAGTGGCTGGACCTAGAGTGTGCAGTGCTGGGATCAAGGATGCAATGCTGGGATTGATTCATGACGTGATCCTAGGATTAAGGGTGCACCACCCTGAGTATAAGGGCTACCCCTCAAAGGGTGGGTAGCCTGTAAGGTTATAAAGGACAGAAAGAAGGTCCCTGCTTGCCACTTGCCACTTGTCACTTCTTCACTACTTCACTGATTTGCTGTCTTCTGTCATATTACCCTGCACTGGAGCCAGCCGACTATGGACTGAAACTTTTGCAAACTGTGAGCCAAATAAACATTTCCTCCTTTAATTTTGGGTGTTGGGTACTTTGTCTCAGCAAAGAAAATGGTAATTAGCACATGGAATAATTCCAAAATTAAAAGACAGACATGTGGGATAATGAAGATCTAGACTTAAATGTACTAATTACCAGAAATCCTTTTTAAATGTAAAGACACTGGTATAAAAAAGTAGAAGGAAGGAAATGTCATATGATTCTAATGATAATTTTCAAAAACCAGCACAGGTTTTGTTAAAGTAAATGTATTCCATGTTTTTCTCCCTGCTTATCACAACAAAAATCCCTGGACATTTACCAGAATTCTCTATATGATAATGAAAAGAACAGACTAGCTAAAAGCTTTGAGCATGAAGAACAAGCTGGATGTTTCCTGATTTATATATATCCTAGCCTGTATGTTACAGCAGCTTGCAATCTGGAAATACCAATGGGAGCAGAAAAGACATAGCCACACACATCTACCAACATGAGACGCAGAGGAAAACCTAGTAAGAAGTATTCATCTCCTAACTCTCCCTAAAATGTAAGATGGTATTTATTTTCCTGGAGTCATAAGTGATCGGTTTTCCTGTGCAGAAAGAAATAAGACGGAATAAAATGCCTTTATTGTGGGCACAGAGAAGACCACAGTAGGAAAAGAGAATGGGGAGCTTCTAAAAGCCTGGCTGGAAGAACAATGGCTATATAGAGCGAGGCCAGAGGAGGGGCTTAAGGGGTGGACCACCTGATGTGGCAGACCAACATTGGGTGGGAGCATGGGAAAATGAAACAGGATATTACAAAAGGGGTGTAGGAAGTCATAATTTGACTCAGAGGAAGAAGGGTGGGGCTTAGCACATGGCTTCTAGTGACCAGTGCCATATTGGCTCCGAGCCATGCTGGTCAGTGCCATGGCACATGGTCTCCAGTGGAAACTACCACAGTGACTCCAAAGGAATTATAATGAGGGGAGAAACCCGTCAATAAGATGGAGACAAAATGGCATCCTTCTATGTCCTGATAGTAAAGCTTTGGCAGTGAAGCCTGTGAGCAGAACTCTGTAGTTTCTCCCTTGTCTACATACTGAGGTGACACCTCTCCCATCCTAAAATCGCACTAGACTATGGGGCGGAGACCGCCCATCCAGGTGACACAATAATAGCACTGTGGAGGTTTCATAAATTAAAATGACGTTTTGCCCATATGTGACCTAGAGACAAAATTAAACTAGACCTACATTCTGAATCTAAACAGGATGATTTTCTGGTAAAGTGGATTTAAAAAGAAATCATATAACATTCAAGAATCTTATAACATTCAAAATATCCAAGATGCTTTCCAAAATTACTCACCATATCACACCTGAGAACATTTCAATTCAAATGTAAAATGAAAACCAAGAAGACCAAATGCATACATAAAACATGTCACAATTGTTGGACAAGGATTTTAAGTGACATCATAAATATTCACATGAGAATTAGACATACTTTGTAATGTAATAATCTCAACAAAGAAAACACAATAAGAAAAGAAATGGAAATTTTGGAACTGAAAAATAAAGTAATTGAAAATTAAAGCAAAATAAAACCAAATGCCTTGGATGGGTTAATGGAAGAATATAGATGAGAGAGAAATGAATTAATATAATTTAAGATAGACTAATAAAACTGATCAAGCCTGAACCACAGAAATAATTTTGTTTGAAGAACAATATTTTTTAGAGAAAGTAAGCCTCAAGAACCTGGGGAGAAGGACAAAGATCTAATATAATGGGTACTGGAATCTGAGAAAGAAAAGAAAAATAATAGTGGAGTAAAATATTTGAAGGAATAATGATTGAAATATTCGCATGAATTGCAATGGGATAATTTAAATTTACTTTCTTTTGGATGGAAGGCAAACAACCAAACCAAACAAAACATAAAATCCTACAGAAATGAGAAATGGAACAAATCCCCAAAAGAACCAAACCAGAGAAAAACATACTCAGACATACAACCACCAAGCTTCAAGAAATGTAAGACAAAGGGAAACATCAAGAACAGCCAGACAAAAATTATTCATTACCCACAGGGTATTGACAATTGAAACATCCTAAAAGTTGTTCATCAAAAACATTATTTTAGATACTGAAAGAAAAGTACTAACAGCTCACAATTCTTTGGCCAATGAAACTACACCTCAGGATA